ACGCAACACCACAGTCAGTCACCACAACTGTTAAAGACCGCGTGCAACGAACAGCACTCAACGAAGATGTCCTAAACGTGACTAAAACTCTGGACCAACAACGCTATAGTGAACTTGACATCAGCGTAGAGGAAAACACATCAGATGTAACCGAGGAACAAATCCCGGAGAGTGAAGGTGATAGTGACACAATAGTGGAAAACACCGAGAGGATGGTGATAAGCGTAGTGAAAAGAGACACTGTCGCGCTGAGCCGTCGGGGGAGGGGGAGGAAGAGGGAGAGACTCTACACGGAAATGATCTTGCACGACTCGACGGCGTCCAGGAGAGTCAGGCACCGCAGGCACAAAAACGCACAAATGGCAACCACCATCGACGACCAGAATGAGATTCCGAACGATCTGCTATTTTCACAACTGGAGAAGGAAGTGCCCGACGAAGGATACCACTGGCAGGATTTCGTCGCACCGAGCGAAGGGACGGATCACAATATCCAGACAAAAATATATATACCGCCGATCGAAGGAACTCATCCGGAAAACTCACCGAAACTTTCCGTTCCTACAGATTATGTCCCGCTTCATCTCGATAATGAGCAGCTTCTCCTGACTCCCGAGCCGTCTAGCGTACTGCCGGGGAAAGGCTCGCAGACGCAGTATCCTCTGATCAAGAGACGGAAGCCCAATTTCTACTCAAAACTGAGTGTAGCTGACAGAGAGACTTATATGAGAAAAATGAATTTCAAGGGGTACCAAGTCAAGAAAGAAACCCAGACTGAAAGAGCATTGTCAACAATACAAAGTGACACTGACGACATACCAAATGATCTTGGTTTTACAGAAAGTGATAGTTACTTTGAAAATGACCTGAGTAACTACATAGGCTCGCCAGTGACTGTGTCAAACGTCGTGCCTCTCACGCAGATAGAGTCCCCGACATTCACACCAAATTCACAGGTTTCTAGGCCAGTGGCAACCATATCTACCACTGAAGCCCTGCCTAACGTACCTATGACAACCGTACCCTCCAGCACTGCGTCAGTTACAGTGAGCGTACGATCTTCCACAACATTCACAGAAACTGAGACCTCCCCAACAACATTTATAACAGCAGTAACTTCGACCAACGCCCCATCAACTTCATCTTCTGATATGGATGGAGTAATCGTTGGTCCATCGTACTCGGAAAGCACATCCACAACCAGCACTACAACCGCTGACATACTTGTCGTGGATTCCAACACAACGTTAAAAACTTCAGCTCCTCGGTCCATCACTACGACTCCTCCTCCTTCTACTTCCACAGTGGCTCCCGAAGGAAACGAAACCGGAAATGAATACTCAGAGGAAAACGGGGTTCCGACGGGCACGGATGAAGCGGAGTCCGAATCAGACGCGGACCAAAAGTCTCCGTCTGAGGAGAAAGACACGAGCTTCTTGGTCCCTGCTTTCATACCTGCTAAGCTTCCCTTCGGCCCGTTCATCCCTAATCGGAAGAAGACAAAGAACACAAGAATCAAAACAAAAATCTGGGGAGTCATGCCCAAAAACAAGGCGTTTGCGATGTACCCAGACGGGAAGGATAACGGCAAAAAGGCTGGGGACTTTATGATCAACGTTCTTTCTCCTCTGTTTGGGCTGGGAAACAAAAAATCGCGGTCTAAGAATCGAAAAATCCTCCTGGAATATGACAACGAGAGGAGCCACGACGAGGAGCTTTACAACAGCATTGGAGGCTCGTTTATGCCGACCGTCGGCGAGGAGGTGGAGCGCCAAACCACGGCTTACCCATACATCCCCTTCGTGCGCCATCAGAAGCACAGGATGTTCACCAGCAGCAAACTCCACGGCGGATTCGCGTTCATCGACAGAATGAAGGGTCGCGAGGACTCGCCACTCGTCGTCCTCAGGCCGCAGGAAGGCGAGTCTGCAACCCGCAGCCAGAACCTAGTCGTCTTGGGCCACGTGGGAGACGACACGATAATGGAGACACTGAGAACCTGTACACAGTACTCAATCTTTAACTTAACCGACCACTACAATATAGCTGAACTCACTCGAGACTCTTCGAATCCCGGGCGTCAGCTCATTGTGTATTTAAACCTAAAGAGTATAAATTACGAAGGATATAGCATTGTCTTAGAAAGAGCGAAGAGGATCCTGGACCATCTGTCCTTCACCCACGGCGGGCTAACTCTGTTCAGCGTCATACCAAACGACGAAGATTCTATCAACACCACACGGAGTAAAGAGGTGAAGACCTTCCTCCTGGCACTGAACGACGACGTCCTGGACTACTGCGCTCGCGATTATCCTTCTTGCTACGGCACGGCCAACCTGGAGCCCATCCTGCAGAACCTGGAGCGCGGCTACCACAAGGACACCGGCTTCGACATCTACGACGCGAGCGACCGCACCCGCGGGACCTGCGCCTCCAACGAGGTGTGCGGCACCGAGAGCCCCGCTGTCGTTACCAACCCCAGCGCGGACCTTAGCGTAGA